AAATCGATTTTTCAGAAAATTGAATTTGGTTTTTGGTGTAACTTTAAAACAAATGACCGTAGGTACATGCAATTTTCACTGGTTGTTTATATTTGCATCTTCTATACACGATAACATTTTCAAAATATTTTGATTTATTTTGAACAGTTTAGGGACATTTTCATTTTTAGTTTTTTTTTAGTTTTTTTTCTAGAAATATCAATAAAATTTTATTTGTTGGTTGCGAAAGCTTGAAAATTTAATAGAAGGCTCCTAATATATTGTTTCAAGGGCAGATGAAAAATATTAAAAATCCTTAGTCACAATTTTTTTTATAAGCATTTAAAGTTCAAAAATTGACAAAATATGGAAAAATCACGAAAATTAGCAAATTATTTTGAGTTAAGAATTCGTAAAAATTTTTCTTTTTAAATCTAAGATTTGAAAATCTAATACAAGATTACTCATAAGATTGTCTACCTTTATCAATAAAAAAATCTCTACCGGAAAGTCAAATTAAATTTTTATGAGCGTTTGAAATTCAAATTTTTACAACATTGGATATTCACTCGATTTCTCATGTGGCAATTTCCTTTTTTTGTTGTAATTAAAAAACGAATTACTGTAGATACATGAAAATTTCACTGAATGTTTATATTAGCATTTCCTATACACCATACAATTTTGAAAATATTTTGACTCTTTTTGAGCCGTTTACGGACATTTTCAGTTTTCAATTTTTTTAGTTTTTTTTTTCTATAAATATCAATTAAGTTTTATCTGTTGGGCCAAAAAGTGTAAAAATTTAATACAAGGCTCCTGATATATTGTTACAATATTAGTTGAAAAATATTAAAAATACATAGGCACAATTTTTTTTTATAAGCATTTTAACATCGAATTTTGACAGAATTTTTCAAAATCTCGAAAATTATTAATCATCGTAATTAATAAATTATAAAATGTTCAGTTTTTATAGCTTAGGATTGAAAATTTAAAACAAGATTCCACGTAAGTAGTTAATTCTCTTACCGAAAAATCTAAAAAATATACAATCACAGTTTATTTTTATAGTCATTTTATTTTCAAATTTGGACGAAATTACATATTAAAAAACCTAGTTATTTTGTTGTGATTATATAATATTATTCGTGGGTACCTACTTGAAACTTCTAAAGTTTACTATTATATATATATGATAGTATCAGGGTTTGTTGTTAGTGTATAACGTGTTATAAGTACCTAATGGATATTGTGATAATGTGATATGATTAATTTGGAATTTATTATAGGTCAATTTTTTTTAATACCATAGATATGTATATAATTTGTCTTAACCTAGACTGACATACCGTCTTCGCTCAGAATCGTTTTTCTTATACAATGATATTGTATCATTGAATTCAAATTTAATAGCATCAATTATACAGTGACCCACTTGTAACCTACTGTACAGCAGAGCGACATCCACTTACCCACCTTTTTTTATTTATTATTATATTCAATTATATTATCATAACAATAATTGTTCATGAACCATATTACGACTATATTTTGGTATATAATTATGGTTTTATTATTGTACAGTTGTACACATACAATCGAATTAAGATTGTAGTTTATTCGCATACTTATAGGTACTTGAACATTGAGATAGCAAGCAAAGTTTATTCTTATAAATCTACTAATAGGCTAATAGCTATTTTACTAAGTCAAGGATAACGGTAGGTACTTACTTAATATTTGTTTCAATACCGTTTGTAGTTTGTCAAGGTTAAGCTGAATTTTCCAGGTTAAAATTTCACAGCATTATTTATACATGACGTAATTTACTTATGAAAATTAAGATAACCTTTTAAATCTTATTCTCATAATCTATTCAAAAAAAAAAAAATAACTTGATATTCGTGGCCTTACAATTTTTTTTTTTTAAGTTTCTATAACATTTGGTGTTGAATAATTACTGGAAAACCCTGGTACAAATTCTCTAATAACTCAATAAGTTGACACTCTATGTCTCTATACTACAAACGCTTCCACGCAAAACTCCAATCCAACCCGAACCAGTTCATCTGGGAACTAGCCTTATCAACATTACCAGGGAACCTGACCAGATGACTCAAGCGGAACTGGTGCCGTGACTTATAAATTGTATAAACTGTAAATAATTGTAAATGCAAATGTAAAGCCACCCGTGTCTCTAATGTGAGACTTTCTGCCATGTCCTTATTTACTCTTAGTTTCTAATTCCCCCATAACTATTGCTTGTGGTACACATATATGTATAGATTGTAATATTTAAAAAAAAAAACATAAAAAAGTATTATAAAATAAAACTGAACTCAAGTTTGGGAACTGACAATATTGTTATATAAGTACCGTCTGTGGATTAAAAAGCTCTAAAAAAAATTGAATAATTAATAATGGCTCAATCAATTATTGATGACTCAATATTATTGACATAAGAATAAAAATTAAAAATTAAAAAAACCGGCCAAGTGCGAGTCGGACTCGCGCACGAAGGGTTACCTATGGTAAAATAATGAAAAATATTTTGTATAACAATACGGACATTATTATAAATTAGTTTTCAAAATATAAATATAAATATTGTTAAATATGGTACATTTTATTTCTTTAATTAAGGTTGCTATTTTTGGATATGAATAATAAATTATAGCGAGTAAATATTATAATATATACTTAGATCTGTCATTTGTTATAGGTACTGTAAATAAACGAGTTCAATGTTCATATACTATAACAATATAATGTATAATAAAATAAATGTATGACATAATTGTAAATGCTAAATAATAATGCATTTTTACTGATATAAAATTTAAATTAATGTACTTTCCCACGTTTTATCAAATAAGTAAACAAACGAAAAATATCGATAAATATACCAATTAATTTAAATATTCGTTGTCATACTATTATTACGCATTACTCGAATTCTGTTAACGATTAAATTCTTGAGACACAACTGATAACGGACTAATTCCAAATTCCAAGATGACGAAACACTCTTTATCGATCGATCCATTAGTGACCGGAAAATGAGCAACGTTTCTAATCATTCAGTCTACTCATCGTATCCAAGATACACGCAATACGTTCCACGGTGTACGAGAGGATTAATAACAATAATTTGCGTCATCCAAATATCGAATTCCAGTTTTGTGGGAATGTTTAAGGTGTTTTTGGGTGGCCGATTCAAAACTGAAGTAAGACTTAAGTCCACTGATGAGTGTCATTGCGCTGTGATCACGGAAATAGAATATTATTTATACTCGTGACGGTAGCTATAAGCATGACGGACGAAAGTTGGATCGACCAAGACAAAACCAAAAGTTACGAATTTCTTCTTGGTAAGTGACGCTATTTAATTTATTCTACACGCCCGTGATTAGGTTTGATAATGATATATATTGATAACTTGTTCATTGCGGTCTGTAGAACGTATGGCCGGAGGAAGAATGGCTGTATACATTAAGAAGTTCGAAATACTCCAAAAAGAGACAGCCAACTCGATCATGCTCATCGATTGCGTGCCAGTCATCATGGACCTGATCACTTGCGATCTGAATGTGGACAAAGCGTTACGACAGTCGTTGCTCCGTAGTCTTGTTCAAAGTCAGTAAAACTATTTTTTAAATCAGAGAAACCTCTGCTGTATAGTTAAGTTTGAGTGTCCCTCGTCACTCATCAGTTGTAATTTGAGGGAATGTATTAAGTATTTGTTACTTTTGTCCAATCCCCTTCCTAGAAGTAACTAGATTACGTTTTTTATCAGAAACCACCCTCAAAGTCGAATATTCAAAACAATTTTGCTGCTCATAGAGGTGACATAGGAAAAAAATACATCATTAAAATACCAATTATCCATTCATCGTTTCACAACACGCTCAGAATCTAAAATTGTAAAATACATTAAAGTCAAAATAAAACACCAGTTCTACATGGAAAAATAACTGTTTATATATTATTGTAGTGGTTGTTTCGTCGGAAAATGTTGTGCAAAAGCTCTCGGCCGCTTGGAAAACGGATGTACTGTTGGGAAACCTGGTCCGAGTCATGCGTGAACACGTCTTGACTCAATACAAACATTATCAACTATACACGCACAACGTGGTCACCGTGATGAAGTGTTTGGCACAAGTCATGTGAGTACAACGAACAGCGTGTGTGATTTAGAACTGCTACGCGTTTTAAATCAACTTAGATAAATACCCAAAATACCCCCCCCCCCCCCGGGTTTCCATATACTGGTATGTCTTATACAAAATAAAAATGTAATATTTACACCCTGTAGTGTAAAATATTATGATCCGTGATTTATGATATACTACCTACCTACTTGTTTTTCATTCGTAAATCGTAAATATAAGTACGATAGTTTCCGAGGTTATGCAGTTATGCTATTATGATGGACAGTTTCCTTACCACAAATAATAAAACAATATAATATAAACATATACCATACATCTTTCTTATTGTAACTATTGTGTACTTACATATTGTTATATTCTTTAAAATCGGAAAAATAAATATATGATGTTCACAATATTAATGGTTCTATCGTGATTTTTCCGACTCGATTTTCGTAACAAATCTGTTGTTTGGTATATTTTGCTCAAAAGTGCGCATCGACGAGTGCCAAACGTTTATATACATTTGACGCTTGTTTAATGGCAATACTAATAATAATATGCAGGTACTAGTATAGTATAGTACCAATGTAGAAATTTACATATTATAGTATTATGCTATTTTAATTCCGGGAATAATATAGTAGTTTATTTTATTTATATTATATTAATTTATTAAAATATTAAATATATAGGTAGGTATAGTTCTTTTTTTCTTCTACCTATTACTCTTTTTTTTTAGTATCCACATAATATGTACTATCACTTACTAATTACTATTAAACATTGGCTGATTATAATCTGTCCATAAACTTTCAAATTTATTCCATTTTCGAGATTGGGCATTTATTATGTCCACGTACAATATTCTTGGAACATGCACCGCCGTGCGTCGTAAAATTCCCACAGATGGAATATTATAATATTTTGAAAGCACAAGTTCGTATGTGATAAATTAAATGAAACGCAATTTATATTTATGCCCGATAAAGGTAATAAAATGTTGTTCAAATTTAAACGTACATTATAATCATGTGCAAAAAATCACATTTCGTATGCATTATAACAGTGAAATAACAAAAACAAATATTACATATAGTGAAGTTGAAGTCGTTTTGTAATATACCGCTACTACCTATTTCTTATTATGTTTCGACCGGGTAGTAGAATTCAGCTATTATTTCATACACGAGGTATTTTATTGACTTGGTTTTATATTTTTTATAGGAAAAACAACAAAGCTAAAGAAAATAAGCTCATCCAGACCACGTATCTAGTGGGTAAGGACAGCTGCACTATGTTGGATGTTCTTCTGAAACCCATGCAGTATCTGGTAAACATGAATAAAATGTTTAACGATTTAGGATTACTGTTGCTGAACACCGAGGACACGGACTATGTAGGCGAAATAAAGCGTTATTTGACTCAGGTATGCACCTGTAAAAGTTTTTGTTATAGATAATACATACTTGATCAACAAATAAATACACTATAATATTATATTTGTATTATATTTTTCATAATCATGTACCTGAATTTTGAGATTTGGCTTTTAACTTTCCAAATAATTCGGCACCTAAATATCACAGTTACCCACATTAACTCGTTGTCTTGTTGATATTAATAGGTTTTCAACAAGATTCAGAGCAAACTCGATCTTGTGTCAGAAATTATTGATCAAATTGTCAAACGATATGAGAAACGGTGCGAGAAAAACAAATCAGCAGACGAAAAATGGAAGAATTTAAAGTGAATTTTTTACTATACATTTTCACTCACAACTATTAATTATTATCATTATAATATTATATGAATGTAAGCTATTTTATTGTTGTTTCAGAGAAAAACTAAGACAAATTTTTGAAGCCACCATTGTTGCACCTTGCTCGTTTACATTCAACTTATATTTAAATTACTATTTTCCTAACGAAGAACACGTCAATGAGTATTTGAACACTTTAATTAAAACATAATAACTAATAAGGTATTATAATATTATATAGTACATTTTTTTTATTGCTTATACAATGCAGATTACTTCTACTATTGTACATTTCAATTTTTAATAGAATTTATTTCTGTTTAATAAAATATACACTCAATTAAATTTTTTAAATCGACAAATTTGAATAAACGGTCATTTTTTTATACTACCTACTATTATTTTGTCAAATTAATCATTTTGTATGACTTATTATATTCTTACAATTTTTATACTACTTTACTACTTAGAAGGCAAGTAACCTTCATGAATTATCTTGTATTTTTATATTTTTGTATTTTGTGTTTTTATTTTTTTTTTTGTTTATGGCAACATGGGTTTCACTTTTATATACTTTTATATTTAATAATTAATTATTTTTTAAATGTTCATTTTTATATTTTTATTACTTTTTTATAATATGTTAGTACAATTTGAAAGTGTTTAATTTTAAGTTTAAGTTGGTTAACGAAAAGTAACTGCATGTATTTTTGCTATCGGTAGTAAACGATTGACGTAGGTATTAGTACAATATCTATAACACATGTTATTTGTGTTTATTATTTTTTTTTTTAATATATGATAATTATTATGGCATGGGGATGGGATATTAATTTAACAACGTTCTGTTATAAATTATAATTAAAAACTATTAAATATTAGATATGTGTTAATTTTTGTGTCTATTTACCTATATAAATATATAATACCTAGAACATTTTGTAATAAATTATAATCAACAACTATTAAATATTAGGTTTATGTTAATTTTTGTGTCAATGTACCTATGTAAATATATAATACCTAGGTTTACTAAATTATGATCTCATTTTTTACTAAAATGTAATTATTACTAATTATAGGGTTTGCTTAATTTATTTTGTAAATTATCAGAGTCGTTTTAGATTACGGATGATTGATTAATTAATTATTTAAATGTTTGATTTATGTAGGTTAGTAATGATGAACATATTTTTTTCTGAAAAAACTTTTTATAAGTAGTAGACAAAACTAAATTCATGAACTTGGCCCACCCACTTAAGCTTAACCCAATTTACTCTAAAGGTATGCCAAAAGTAGCATTTAATTAGCAAATAATATCAAATTGCTTTTTAAATTAGCAAATAATTTCTTCATATTTGTATATACTTAATTCATTTTTAATTAGATGCGGGTCAAGTTAAAGGGGCGAATGTGCTTCAAAAAATGATTCGGTTTTCAATCTTGAGGATGGTTTCTGCTTTTACAATTTGTATGTCTCCATCAAAGTTATTACTAATCATTAGATAAATCGGATGCTAAATTATTTTTTATGGAGGATCTTACTGCGAATAATAGATCGATAGATCAGATAACTATAGGTATATCGATAATTTTTAGAAAAAAAAAATATGGTTGAATAAGCACAATGAACAATGATTAAATCGTACCATCAATCTGTAGTAATCCAAAATACTTTGCAGTGATGCTCGAATGGTTTTTTTAAAACCATGTCCGAATCGTAGTTTTCCATCAGCTTCGCGATCTTAAGTAGTTTTTTATTAGTGAAACACGAATGAAGGTCAGGTTATACTTAGGCGTGTGTAGTAACACACTCGCGCGCAACACCTATTTCATATTTTACACGTCAGATTAGATCTCAAACGTCATAATACGGCGTATAACATATATAACAAATTATTATTATTTACCGCCTATATGTGTAATAGGCGTATAGGTACTGCACACCAAACACGTCACACAAGCATTTTTTTTGTAATGCATAATATTCTTTCTTTCTTTTTTTAAAGTTTTATTTTTTATTAACAATCTGTATTTACATAGTACAATGAGTACAAATTGGAGGGGGATTATTGACGTGAAGGGGAAGTCGCCCATTGACGACACCCCATGTGAAAGTACCGATATAATATTCTACATAATATTATATATTATGTGATGTGTATAGACTGTTTTCGACCGTTTTTCATTTATCGTATACGTATATAGCATATTAGGTTCCTATATTAAGTATCATACGGTGACTTAAGTTGCAACTGATAGCTGGTAAGCGTGTTTTAGGGAGGTTGTAAGAACATAATAATACATATATTATAATATAATAGGATATTTTAAAACCTATAGTATAACAGAATTTAGAATTTAGAAATTAATTTATTCTAATAAACATTTTAACTACTATAAGCTTATGGATTTCTGTAATAAGTAACTATTTCTAAATAACACATTACACATAAGTACAAGCCGTGAATAATAATAATATTGTGTATCTACCTATATATTATTAAAATATTTAAATATGTGATAAAACTAGGTAGGTGTAGAAGGACAAATGTTTGTTTTTAATTTGCCTTTATGATGTTATTATGCGTTAATTTTTAATAAATAACAGTTCAACACAAAATTAATTTAGGTTGGTTCTGAGAAAATATACCAAACAGCTTATTCAGTTTAAAATAATGATTGCGTCAACTCTTCATTACATCAACTATCAAGTGTAATAACTCAACTGGAAATTGCAAAATTGTTATATTTATATTACCTATATTCACAAGGTAGAGGTAAATTAGGTAAACTAGCACTTACATTAAAATACAAATATATATATATTATATATATATGTATAGGCATGGACCTAGGTATATTTTAATTGGTACAAAATAGCAACATTAATCAAAAACACGGTTACAGATAAGAAAATAAAATAATTTATACATATTTTATACGGGTTGTAGAAAACTAAAAATGTCATTAAAATGATTTCAATCGTAGTAAATAATTATAAAATAACACGCCAGCATGTCTGTTTAAATATCTTATATACAAGTACCTATACAATATTTTATACCTATTTTGTTCTGTACAAAATATGCATATAAGCTGATATCGTTTGAATGTTTGATATTTTCGAAGGTTTACATAGGTAAATAGGTATACTTATATAATATAAACAACTTGTCAAAAAATGTTTCATTTATGTTGATTTATATTGTATATAATGTGATGTGTTATATAATATAGGCTGTTGGTGGGAATCTCGAGACAATCAAAAATTCATCGAAATAACCTCGGCTTAATATATTATTTTAAGCCCCTTCTTGTTGTGTTTTGTTCGTGAAACTGACCAGATATCTTTTCCGGGGCTGTAAACGAGTTGTGTCCCAAATTCTGAATTGCGTCCCTATGTTTTTTTCGGGTTACACGAATTGTGTCCCTCAGTTTTGTTCGCGTTACACGAATTGTGTCCTTAAGTTTTTTTCGGGTTACACGAATTGTGTCCCCCAGTTTTTTTCGGATTACACACAAGTTTGGTCTAACTAATATAAATAAAAAGCAAAAATAACTAAACAAATAATTTTAATAATATTTCATATAAGGCAAACACTTAGATAAAACAATTTTTATAAATTCACATTGAGTAATTTTTTTTTTTATTAAAATATTAAAAGTAGGTAAGTTAGGTATATCTTATATAATATTATATTTAACACGAAAAATTAGTATAAAAGACGTCATATTATTATAGTAAAAATTTTAATCTAACAATAATTTATGTTGTTTCGTCTAATTGATAAAATATAAATAAAAAGCAAAAATAACTACATTAATAGTTTTTATAAAATTACATACTAGGCAAAAATTTAAATGATACCGTTTTTATAAATTTGAATTTTATTACTGAATTTTATTCAGTACCTAAATATCTTATAAAATATATATGTTGGTATATTTTATACAACATTGAAATGGAAAAATTTATCGAATCGAATTTATAAAAACTTTTGTTTCAATTAACGAAATAGCATATTTTTAAACTTCATAAAACAGTTAGAATACAATTCGTATTATCGGGACACAACTCGTGTACCCCATTTTTATGATTGGGACACAACTCGTGTACCCCACTTTTATCATCGGGACACAACTCGTGTACGAGAAATTTGGTCGGGAAACAACTCGTTAACTGCGTTTTCCGGAAACATATTATTATAGAGGGGGGACCCGTTTTTTAAAGAGTTCACGGAACAGCTAATAAATTTATTTTAAGTCAGTGAGAGTTGTTTAAGTTTAATTATATTTCATCAGAGGTTATACTCAATATAATTACTCAACTAGAGTCTAGAGCTGATTTCGGTCATTATTTAGTTGCGGGGACGCAGGGTTATCTATACTGAAACTTAATTTATGTCCCATGTCAGGCCGCCGTAATCGAATCAACTGGATAGCAAAATACTTATGTCTACTCATAAAAATGTATATAGGTTCACAAGTTATACCTATGCCAAAATTAATTTTTAAGTAGGTATTTGTCTAGATATCCCAACTAAAATATTATGCGAAACTTTTCCAACTGTATTAGTATGTTATTGATATTATTTTGATCAGCCCTTCTCGTAGTATGTTATGTCTTTCTACTTTATAATACCTAGTCCGGTATCTTGTATACCCTAAATATCTGGACCAAGTGCAGGTAAATAAATGATGGTTTATGAGAGTAATGAGACGAAATTTGTAAAGAAAAAACCATGGCACACTCGATATTTTTAATCTTCACGTGGATCTATGAATCATAAATATATTTTTGTTAAGAAGTAACCACCATGACAACGAAAACCTTACGAAAAATCGGTTAGAATTATTGTATCGTGTATCCAACTCAAAACATATTTATGTTAATATATAAAATATGTTACGTGCTGTGATTTATATTAAGTACTATTACGAAATTTAATTTGAAAAATAGTTCTCGAAACATAATGGTATATCGGATTACCAAACGAGTTGTATAGGTATAGTTAACATATTATATTTCATCAAAAAATTGTGTTTGTTAAACAACGAGCTGTATAATATCGATACAGCATAATATTTGATTTTCAATGGTGTTGCAACTGCATATTATGTGGATAAAACACATATGTATAAATGGACGGATTCACGGATGGCACTATAAATTCCAATAGAGTAATCTCAACTAATAACTCCGATGAG